TATATTGTTTTAAACCCTCCCACACTTTTGCAATATTTTAAACAATGTTTTTAAACTCTAAACACTCTAAAGATCACAGAATGTCATGAACTCAGCTCTCTGCCACCTGCAAACACTCTTGGCCACGCCCACTTCTCCACACAGGAAGTTTATCCTGCAGTAACGGGGTGCACAAAGATGCAGTAGGAAGGTTTTTCTGCAGCATGTCATGATCTCCTTTCTCTGCCATCTGCCAGTGCTCTCGACCACACCCACTTCTCCGCTGCAGAGCGGAGATCATGACACGGTGCAGGAGGAAGCTTCTCCTGCAGCAGTGGGCTGAACACAGGTGCAGCAGGTGCTAAATAATTTTAACAAATTTATTTCAAATAAAAATTCCATGCCTATCGTTCGGCTCATCCTTCAATCAGTTAATTGTGTGTCATGTCCAATCTTATTTTGAAAAACCGCGAAGTAGCGAGGGACTACTGTCTACCTAATATTCTCCAAAGGCATTAGAAATCAACTGAATGTCTACAAAGAATTATTTCTAAACCAATAAAACCTTTTGAGAGTTAAAAAAAACAACAATTAAAATGAGGTCCAAAAGTTAACTGGCCCACTGCAGAAAGTGAAAACTTTCAGGTGTTTGAATAAAGATGTTTTTCCCCTCAAAAACAGTCATGTATGGGAATGCTTCCAGCAGCTAAATCTCTATTTAGTTCCATTCTGTTGTTGTTGTTTCCTTCGTCTAAATGCACTTTGAAATTTGGGATTATTTAAATTATGTAAACAGCAGGTGTAAATTGCTAAAGACAGAAAATCAACTTTACTGTAAATTCATGTACAGTAGATTAACTAAAACAGATTTGTAGCAGTAAGAATCAACTTCAGAACAGGAATAAAACAACTAAAAATGTAATTTTGCCTAATTTCACTACAATTCTACCCACTAAAACACCATTTCTCATAAAAAAAAAAAAATCCCAGTTTGGATTTTTTATTTATTTGAATGCCCCAAAATACTTTAAATTTGTTTGAAATAAATATAAATTTAAATCTATCATGAATAAAAACTCTTCTGAGACTCTAACATATATATAAAAAATTGAAATTAAACCAAATGAAAATACTGTAGAAGCAATTTGAGCTAAAACATTGTAAACCTACATGTGAGAGGGCTCATTAAAACTTTAAACTTTTATATCTATACTCCTAAAATTGAGTCATGTTAACATTCAGAAAGACATCCGGTGACACTCAGACACAAACAAAGAGGAATAAGTTAATAAGCATTTTAAAAACTTTTGTTTTTTACCCTCCATGTAACTCGTATGCTCTGAGACGTCATCGGCTGGAGGACGACTTCCATCGGAGGTCCGTCAGGTGCTGTTCAATTCAATTCAATTTAATTATTACTGATAGTTTTCATTTTTCTGATCCAAACACACAAAATAATACAAAACATGTTTAAAAGGCAAGATTAAGAGGAAAAAGATAAACACTTACGTGCTTCCTCGGTACTGATCGTGAGTTCTTTGCTGGGGAGGCTGCGGCCGATTTTATTGTAGGAGTACATGCGGATGCTGTAGACGCAGGCTGGGTGGAGCTCCACGATGTTGGCTTGATTGTTGGTTGGAGAGATGTTTCTGGTCGTGTACATGTGATCCCAGGAGTCTGATGAACCCGAGCAACAGTTAGAGTTGGTTAAAACCAATAAATAAAATAAATATTACACAAACATTTAGAGACGGGCGTTTGTTAGCACCTACCTGACTTGTTCTTGTACTCAATGTCATAGCTGGTAATGATGCTGTTGCCATCAAACCTTTGGATCCAGCGCAGGTTCATGCTCCTGTCCTTCACCTCCCTGACTTCCAGCTCGGGGGGATCTGGTGGTTCTGTTTATCGGAAACAGGAAAAAAAGAGGAGATGTCACCCTATAAACCCATCTTCATCATATTTATATGGCTAATGCGTTTTACCAGATCTAATAATAATCTAGTTTTGCAGGGATTGGTAGGAATACCTTGCACTGTGAGTTGGATGAGCCCTCGACCCTCTCCGTAGGAGTTGATAGCGTGACAGGAGAAGAAGACGGAGTCTCCTCGCTCGGCTGGGTTCAGCTGAGAACAACAGAACATGCAGGAAACACTCATTTGGAGCTTACGCTACAGTTTGGTTCACTAATATTATTTTTGGAAAGTATTTTAGTCAGCACCACGCTTTAAAAAAACCTGCAACTGTAAAGTCGCACAATATGTCCGCCGATGTCCCCCGTCACTGACGGATTTGAATAACGAATGTTTTGTAGTTTTTGAGATGAGTTTTTAAAGATTTTATGGACTGGAAGGATGGAGGTATTCTTTAAAAAATTTTTTTGCTTGTTTGAGGCAGCGCAGTGTGACAGATTCTGGCGAATAGAAGAAGAAATTGTATCTACCACCAGATGCAATGGCGCAGCTAGGGGGTGGCCAGTGGTGGCCTTGGCTACCATAGATCAATCTTGGGGCACCCCAGTAGACACCACAATCATTTGAGGAAACTATACTTTTAAGCGGTATATAAACTAAAACTCAGTTTCCTCAAATGATTGGGATGGCTGGTTTACACATACATTTGGTGGGTGGCCATATTGCATTTTGATGTGGCAACGCAATTTTCAAAAGAAACCTGTCTTAAGCCTAGATACAGTGAAACGTCAAAATAGGAGTCAGTACCTAACTTATTTTTCAAATTATCATGCTCACAAGACGGTTGGATGGACAGACGGAGGGTATTTCCATTTTCAATCCGTGATGGGCGACAATATAAGCCGATTTAAATCAATGTGAAGTTACAGTGAGAGTTTATATGAAAAACTACAAAAGTAAAAAAAAAAAAAAAAACATTGTCTTTGTATCTCACTCAACAATTAAACTAGCATTTTTCCATCTTACATGTTAAAGTTTTTTTTTTTTAACAAAGATTTTGTCTAATCTGTTAACTTTTTGATGGGATGACTTATTGCTACTACCACTCCAAAACTTAGCTTCATGTCTGAGTGTTAGTTTTTCTGGAATTGACTTCAGACATTAATCAGTTGTAGATGCACATCCAGTGGATAATTTATCATGGTTTCAGTAAATATGTGCAATGATACTTGGAATATGTTGCTAACACACACAGGGTACAGTTAATGTAATCTATTAGCCCTCAGATTACATGTTGGGGATAACTTGCAGGTACTACCACAACAAAATTTAGTTGCGTTTCTGTAAAGTTGACTGTTATAGCCTTTTTTTTTAAAGGTTGGATAAGATCAATTATCTGTGGCAACCATCTGAAATCAGGTTGACTCAAAAAAATAAATCATTTGTAGATGCTTCACTGATTACTTCCTGGAAGTTTCTTTAAAATCGATCGAGTGGTTCATAAAATATTTGGCCAACAGGTCAACAAACAAACAGCAAGTGATAAAAATAGTCAGCTGATGAGAAATCAACATGGGTTTCAAATTTCCAACTTTTAAATCTTCAAACGGTCCCACTAAGTTTACAGTAAAGCTTCCTGTACCTTCAGGGTGGAGATGACTTCATCCCCCTTCTTGTTGATGGTGATGGAGTATCGGGGGTTTCTCTCCGCATCGATGACCGTGTCTCCTCTCTCCCAGCGGATAATGATGGGCTGCTCGCCTCGCGCCGTGCAGTTCAGCTCCTTGGTCTGGCCCTTCCTAGCCATGGTGGTGTTGGGGTGGCTGGTGATCATGGCAGGAACTGAGCAGATTCACAGTCGCGTGTCAGAGTAATGAAAAGTTTGATACGGAGTAATGAGATGAGGGAACGGGGCTTGCGTACTGAAAGCTGAAGGATATATTACAGACGTACAGATATCATTATTTCTGCCCTTCGTTCGGTGCTGTGATTTCACGCTTCAAGCCCCGCTGGTTCTTCTGTCTCATATTTTCTTCCCTTCCCACACTTTGGCTTCTTCTTCCCCCTCTGTTGCTTTGACATGGATTATTGATCGAACAGAGATCCTGTAGTTTTGTTTTTATCACTAATTCAACAGCCCATTCCCCTCACCGAACAGTCAGCAGCACACAGGCAGACAGCTCAAACACATGAATCAATAGCAGCTGTTAAAGTTTGCTGGGTTCAGTAAAGGCCAGAGTAGCCTGGGGCACAAGTGCATCTTAGAGGTGCTGATTCCATCCTGACCAGTAAAAAAGGCTCAAACTGATGTTCGTACACATCAGGTTCATGCCAATCCAAACTTACTTTTGACAGTGAGGATCATGCTCTTACTGATGTCCGAGCCCACACCGTTGGAGGCCTGACAGAGGTAGTACCCCCGGTCATCCTCCAGGACATGTCGGATCAGCAGAGAGCCATTTGACATGATCTGGATGCGGCCTGTGAGGGGGACCGGATGGTACTGCTGGGGGTTCCCAACACCTACAGGACAGAATGGTCAGTAACTTAATTTATTTTTCCTCTTTGGGTGTTGATGTTACAGCAGACTTTACCTTTAGCGTGTTTCCACATGACCTTTGGAGGGGGGTAACCCTCCACTGAGCAGTTCAGAACGCCAGCTTTCCCATAAATGCAGTCCTGGTTGTTGGGCTGCACCACAAAGCGTGGCGGCACTAGGAAACAAAAACAGATTTTTAGAGTTCAACTAGGCCTAGACAATAAGTGGCTTTCAGCCATTTTAAACCAACTCAAATCTTTAAAATGCTACGATAGTTCATGCAAATAATATTTAATGAGCTTTCCAATTTTGCTTTACAACGTTATTTAAATAGGATGTATTTGTAAGTAGGAATAAGAGCAGTTGAAGCTAGCTAGCATGTCTGGTGCAGCCTGGAACAGCCATATCTAAAGATTTCTGCCAGATTAATGGTGTTATGAGAAATTGAATGTAATGAAACTGTTTACAAGAGTACCATGTATGGCACATTATACATCCACAGACAAACAAACTATTATACAGTAATACAACATTCTATAACAATGACCTTGTTTAACATTTGACTGAAGCTGAGGTGATGAGAACGTTACAGGATATGCCGTCTGGTGGTGGTACAAATCCCTGAGTTTTCATTTCATTTTCTTGAGTGGATCAGAAGTTACAGTCCAGCCAAGCAAAGACTTGTTTTGACTTTGACCTTGATTTGTGACCTTGACCTTGGAGCTAGGGTGATTACACTCCGTCTACTGATGAAGCATAAGTGTATCAAGCTTTGTTAAATTATCTTAAGCGGCTCAGAAGTTATAGTCCAGACAAGACAGTTTACATACGTATGGAGACGTCTTCCAACAAACAAAAACTGTACAAGATTGAATATTTGAGGTGTTTTAAGATGGCTGCTCCACTTTGGTCTTTGCCTTGCTCAGAAGAACCATGAACTGTCAATCCAGTCAGAAATAAACTCATGTTTTTCCAAAGAGCAAGCTAAAAAAGCTAACGAATATCAATGTTTAAAATCTTTCTAAACCTTCTAAATAGTCTGAACTTTTCCTCTAAACGGTGGAAAAAGTGAATGTTCCTTAAAAATGACATCATGAGTTTCTCCTGTGTGTTTAAGCTCCTTCTCCCTGCCCCTCACCCGTGACAATCAGCTGTCTCTCCCAGCTGACGGTGGCAGCAGCGTTGCTGGCGAGGCAGGTGTAGTTTCCGTTGTGCTTCAGCGTAACCTTGGAGATCTGCAGGGAGCTCATGAACTCTTTGGTCTCTATCGCGACGCCAGAGGCTGAGCCCGGCACAATGAGCTGGCCGTCTTTGTGCCAGGTGATGCGTATGGGCATGTCCCCGGATGACACCACGCAGGCGATGTACATGAGCTTCCCCACTGAGGTAGAGGGGATATCAAAGGGCTGGATGAGCGGTGGCACTGAAAGAGACAGGAAGAGCGCAGAGAATCACCACTAGATGTCCAGGAGTGGCAGCGTGGCCATCTGGAGCAACGCTAAAAGAGATAGAGAAGGTCATTGGCCGGTGGGCCTCCCTTTGCTGCCACCTCCTTCAGCCCCCCTGCCATCTCCTGCAGCCCATAATAGCTGCTCTGGTTAGAGTCCAATTGGCAGGGAGAAGTCATTCTGTTGCCATAGCAATGGAGGTTGAGGTGGGGGTACTACAGCTGAGACATCTGGGGGATTTAATCTAGGCTTCATTATTATTCATCTAATTAAATCAGAGACACACTCACACTCAGGCACTTGCACACACCCTTAAACACCTCTGCAGCTGCCACACTACCGTCATTAGCGGACTCACAGTCCAAACAAAATGCAGACACAAACATATCTGAAATATGGAAAAGACAATCTAAATCAGCCCCAAAACACAGCTGATCTGAATTAAACAAACAAGTACAAAACAATGTACACTAGTGTCTTCAAATGGCAGCGACTTGGACTTTTGCTTACCACATTTTGAGTTTTGGGTCATTTCAAATCTCCATTTAATGTCAATCATAGGTTTGTGTATAACACTGACATTATCCAATGAATTCCTTCTTTTTACAATTACCTTTGACGGTGACATGAACAGTCTGGTTTATTGACACCTGGGGTTGGATCAAAACGCTACACAAGTAGGTTCCCTCGTCGGCGCCCTTCTGCACGTCCGTGAGCCTCAGGGTGCCGTTCTCAAACACCACTTGTCGATGATTATCAGGCAGCTGCATGCCATCCTTCAGCCACTTGATGGAGTAATAGGGGTACCCAATCACGCGGCATGTTATATATGTGTTTCTGCCCGCCACTGCTGTGATGTCTCGCATGGGTCTAATTCGAGGTGGACCTGGAGACACGGGGAAGGGGAGGGAGGGGGTGCAGGGAGCAGACAGAGATGGACACAAAGGTTGAAGAGACGGGGCAGATGAGTTGACGAAGGTCATGGCGGAATAGGAGGGGCACGAAAACGGGAGATGAAGAGATAAAAGTTGAGGGGTAGAGTGATTGGGGTGGGTTGACATGTAGAGAGGAAGGTTAGTTATATTTCCTTTGAATAAAATCTGACTGAGGATATTTGCTGGTGTCTGCCTAGTCAAGTTCTGTAAATTTAAAGTGATAGCTCAGATTTTTTTAAATTGTAGGGTTCTGTGGAGTTCAGTCTGCATGTTACCTGCTGTAGACCGCAATCAGAGCGTGATTGATTTGGAGAATCAGAAAAATGTCTTGTTAATGAGTCAAGCTAATGGTGCACTCAGAAGTTTGAACTTTTAAGTTTTAGGTCAGAAAAATTTACAGCAATGCCCTCAGAAAGTCAGAGAAGTCAAACATTCTCACCAGCCTTATCTCAGCAAACCCAATATGGCTGCCTCACACGTAAAAAGTGGTACTAGCTGCGGTGATAAACTATACACTTTAATCTGTTTCTGTCAGTTTCCTGTTTAAATTAGTCACGAGTATACTGAAGATGACTTTCTATTCTCTGTTTAAATCTTTTTCCTCATTCTCACATTGGGAAATACTCATGCCTTACCACTAGATGGCGAGAACATCCAGATTAACATTGCATCAAAAATACAGAGGAAGAACATTCTTGGCTGTTCTTAAGACTTTCCCAAAATAACTGTAGCTCGTTTATTTTCCTAATTTTAGCATTTAATCAGTTTTTTTTTTTTGTTTATTTCGAACATGTTAACTATATACAGACAGCCATTTTAAGCAAAGAAGAGAGAAACAAAAATATAAAAAAAAAACTTATATAGACTTTTAAAAAAGTGCACAAGTATTGCTCCACCTTTGTTTAGCTCACATGTCGAAAAAGAGCGGGAAGAAGTACCACTTATTTAATCCCACCCCCTCACCATTGTTTATCCATTTTTACTTTTCTAATTCCTTACTAATACAACCGCTAATGAAAATAATAGACATATTTAAATTATTCAGATTCAATTTCTTAATACAAGCTATCATCATGTGTTTATATATCTTTATATTTCTTAAAAATAGTTTGTGTACAGGCGAGAGGCGCACAGCAGATCTTTGGTTTTAAAAAGTGTTTGGTGTAAAGTGACTGGGACCTAAATCAGTCAAAGACTTTACTGTTGGTGTTAGCAAACACGTTGCGTTGCTACAGTAATATAAATAAAAACACACAGAGAATTACATTATTGACTTTCATAGCTAATAATAGTTGGACTGGCCACTGAGCACAATAGTAAGCAAAACTCATTGATCTGACAACTTCCTACCGGAACGTGGGTAAATTGGACTTATCTTTCGAGATCAATTTTCCAAAGTGAATAGTCCAGTTAGACAGCTAGTTAGACTGAGGCCACCAGTCTAGCGATTAGTGGTTTTCAGGACCTCAGATTTTTAAGTAAATATCCATCTAACGAAAAAGTTACATCCGTTTACAAGTTTACAAAATAACATTTGAGTAAACCACTACACGTTGAGATTCAAGATTTATTAAGATGACATAAATCTGCTAAGGAACCAGGACCAATCGGCAGCTGTTAGCTTGACTTTCAAGGTTCAAGGTTGTCATTCGCATCACATGTGGTACATGAGGTGGAACAAAATTGTGAACTCAAGGTCCCAGTTACACCGAAAAATAGCAAAAAATATAACCCCCACCAAAAAAGAAACAGTATACAGTAGTCTTTCATTTATCGCAGGGGATCTGTACCCTGAAGACCCGCGATAAGTGAAAAACCGCAAAGTAGTAGCCATGCCCACTTCTCTGCTCTGCACAGAGAACAACTGATCAACTGTTCTGCTGCAGGAGAAAACTTATCCTGCAGTAAGGGCTGGCTGCACAAATGTGCAGCAGATGCTAAATAATTTAAAATAATTTATTCTAAATACAAACTCCATGCCAATCGTGTAGCCAAATGTGCGTCATGTCCAATCTTATTTTGAAAAACCGCGATAGAGCGAGTCCGTGATAAACAAACTGCGAAGTAGCAAGGGACTACTGTACAAAGATCTAAGATATACGCTAAACAATAATAATATAATGTAACACATTGTATTAAACAGCAGCCTGAACATGAGTCTGTTGTGAGCAGATGGGTATGAATACAGCAGCTTAATGTAAGAAATCAGCAGAGAATTACCTGCAAATTCTCCAAACTCAGATTTTTCAGACTGCTGTCTACTGCAGGTAAAATACTGACTGTTGACTCCACAGAACACCCCCACCCCCCACCTAAAAATATCTGACCTATTTCTTGAAAAGCATAAGTACAGTGAATTGTTAGCCAACTAGCTAACAAGCTAGCTGCATAGATAGATAGATAGATAGATAGATAGATAGATAGATAGATAGATA